TACTGTCACTTCCATATACCTCGGTCAAAACTCATCCAGCTTGGATGCCATAATCTGGGTAAACCCTCTTTGAGAGCATAGTGTACTTTAAAGTGTAGTTAACTATTAAATACCCTCAACTGTTTTCTGTAAACTGATTTTAAATGCTAATAATATTGTGTTGTCTTAGTCTTATTACATTGTGTAGCTGATATGGGTACATTGAATTGTAATTTATTCATAATGGTTATTTTGTAACTTTCATCCAGCCCATGTATTTTTTTCTTTATCAACTTGTATATTGTAAAATCTATTCTTAAAAGGAGATTTTATTGTATTTTCACCAGCCATATAAGGAAAGTATATATAAAGCAAGGAAAGGTGAACATGTTTAGCAGAATAATTTATCTTCACTCTAGTTTAAAATTGAACATTGAACACGACTTTTTGGAGAAAGAATGTTGGCCTTTGTATGTCTGGGTTATTATTTTTAGTTGTAGTTATCATTTAGTTTAGAAAAGAAAAAACTATCAAAATAAAATGAATTTAATATTGGGGGGAAAGAACTTTTGTGTCTTCATGATAAATTTGTTTCTTCAAAAGATCTTTCTTATGACCTCTTTTGTCAACAAGTTCTTGTATCTGGGAAGATTATTTCTGTTGGCTAGACAATTTCAAAATGATAGAGTGAGATTAATAATATAAATACAAGTTTTCCTTGTTCTATTGATTTATTGGGTCACAAATCTCTGAACACTTACCTGTCTTAGTCATTTTACTTTTGAGAGCAATGACAAAGAAGTTACTCACATATATGAGAGTTTTCAAGAATGAGCATCTTTGTTAAGTGCAGCTGATTAGCAACATATTAAAAAAAAAAATACCATCTGTGCTAGTATCATTATAATACTTCAGATGAATCAGATATGTAGAGTCATAATCCATTACTAGGAACTGTGAGAAGGAGAGGCTTAAGAAATATCTTTGTCTGAAACGTGGTAATGTCCCTGGTCCAACTCCATCACAACATGCAGTAGTTTAAGCACTTTTTACTTTAGATGTCATTTTACCCAGGGTGGGCCTACAGAAGTTACTTTCCTGGGATTGAGATTTCACAATTCCCTTGAGCCAGTCTACGGGCTGGCCAGTCCTAAAAAGAGCAGTCTTGGTCTGGCCTCATTAAGCCACACATTCCCTCTTCCTTTGTGCCCTACATTAGCCCTGTTATAATTGGTGGGAGACTTGGATCAAGGGACTGGTGTTACTAAGACTTGATTTTTTTCATTTATTTTTTATCCGAAGGAACATGAATAGCAAGTTTCACGTGGGTCAGCAGACTCATTCTCATTGCAAGTAGGCAAACTGCGTACCGGGCTACGCCAGGATGAGTATGAGCAGCAAATCTGAGCAGGGTATTATTTCCTTTGGGTGCTGGTGAGGCTGAACCTGGAATACTGCGTTCAGTGGTTGGGGCGCTCTGCTGCCAGAAGCATAGGGAGAAATTGGAAGGAGTCTAGCAGAGGGCCCTCAGATCAGAGTAGTTGAAGGAGCTGGGCTTATTTGTTGAGGTGAAGATCCATAGCAGGCTACAGCTATTTGAAGGCGAGTTACAGGCAGGATGGAACCAAAGTCTTTTTGGCAGCGCGGGGTGATATAAGAAGGAAGAATGGCCACGAAGCACAGGCTGAGAGATGCAAGTAGGACCCTATGAGGCTGATGCAGCGCTGGAGCAGGCTGCCCACTGAGGCTTTGGAATCTCCTTCCACAGTGGCTTTCAGGACATGGCTATCAAAACCCCAGCTGAGCTGGACTCGTGTTGGTGACAGCTCTGCTCATGGTGGGAGCCTGAACAGAAGACCTCCAGAGGTCGCATACAATGAACCCTTCTTTCTTGCTGTGAATGTTATTGTGAAGATATAGCCTAAGTCTAAGACCCCTGACACCATAAGAAAAAGGAAGGGGTAATTACAAAAAGTGATGTATTGATTTATCTCGTGCTAACAGAGGTTTTCTAAGGCAGTTTACGTGCCTGTTTCTTTCCACTAATTGGCAAATCTTTTAAGACTAGTTTAGATTTTGAACATGAATACTGAGACACCCAACCTTAGATGCAGTGCATCTCAGCCCAAACAATGTCATTTCACCCGATGGAGTGGTAACTTCTTACGCTCTTGTCATATCCTTCATTGCTGTCATCTGACCCCAGAACAGAAATTCCCAAATTAGTACAGGTGTTTAGTATTGAGCTATCTACCAGAAAGATCTTTTCTACCAAGATAAGCAAGTTTATTACAGAGGAAAGAAGCTGAAATGCTTTTGAAGATGCAGCTTTGTTACAGGATTTTAAGATTTTTGTATTTCTGTAGAATGCAAACCTACAGATATTTGAGTGTGATGCGTATGTTTTATATGATTTTGGTCTTGGAAACTTAGGACATGCAATCTCTCAACAATTACCATAGAATGTACGGATCTAGATAGACCTAATTATTTCTCTCTCTCTCAAACACACACACACACACACCACACACACAGAGGCTCTATGGAAAACAGTGCTCCCTACAATCTCCCTGTCATGTTGTTCACATGTCTTGTAGAAGTGGTTGTGTTTTTATTTGTCACTCGATCTGTATGTGTCAAGCCCAACAAAAAGGGTATCTAGTCCTCCCCCACGGTAGCAAACTACAGTGGGGAAATTTGTAAACAGAGGCTCACTGGTGAATCATCCGCATCCGCAAAGTCTGCTTCTTACCAGTGGAGAAAGAGGCATCGCTGTCAGTCCGAACTGATTCCCAGTCTCTGGAAGGCATACATTGATGAATTAAAACAAAATCCCCTCCCCATGAACTCTCCTGGAGATGCTGAGGTAGGGGAAGAAACATGTGGCTCTCCCATAAACATGGGACCTTAAACACCCGAAAGAAGTCCAAAGCAGCAGTGGTCTGGTGGGGATCATCCTGACACCTATCTAGCTTTTGGATGACTTCCTGGCACCAGTCGTAGCTACAAGCCTTATTTTGCAGTTGAACTATTTACCCTGGTGCAGATTTGCAATATTGGCACTCATTTATGTTAGTGAGGAAAAGAAGGAAGCTAATAATATGTACTGTTGAGTGGGGACCTTTGGAAGGTGGTGTTTAGAGCTGCCAAAAATGTCAGGCAGACTCTTTGGATCGTAACAAACCAGTGAAGCAGTTGTTAGCAGGACTGATCAGTAGAGGATCAGCTAAAAGTCAGAAGTTCAGAAACCAAGTCTCAGCTTGTTCTTCCTTATCAATCAGGATAATAAACTGCACACAGACAGGCAGCCCCTCTCAGTAAAAGCTCAGAAAGTCTTTGAATTAAAAGTGAAAAAAAGATCTTCTGAGCTGCTTTCTCTGCATCACTTCAGGTTGTGGCAAGTGCATTTTTCATCCAGCAGTGAAAGAAACTGGCCTGTGTTATCAGAGACGGGGCTTTTCACGCTTTTTGTCGGTGGTTTTTCTCAAGCTTTTGCTCTTGGGGTGTTGTCTGCAGTTTGTCAGATCTGTTTGGGGACCCTGGTGAGTCTATCAATAGACAGCTCAGCTGCGTGTTTCTGGGTGCTGAACCGCATCAAAATGAATTCCTCTCTATCATGCAACTTTATGCTGCTTTAAAAGTTGTGATTTGCAGAGTTGCCTGGATAAAAATATTTTTTCTCCTTCCTTTCCCTCATCTACACTACAATCTCTGGCAGTAGTAAAAAACAATTATTAAAGTTATTAAAATATATGAAAGATAAAGGGTCAAGTACCATTGTAACAGTGGGTTATGATGAGATGGCCTCTTACCTGTACAGAGAAAGTATTTCTAAATAACTTGCAATGTCACAGTGGCGCTATAAAGGACAGTCTACTCAGTGTATGTGTTTCATATTTGATGTTTCTGGCTTTTTTTTGCCTTCAAGTCAAGATCACAGCTAAAGTCCAGTCTCCCATTTCTCATTCCAGGCCAGAGATAATTTCAACAAGCTTTTGAAATAGATTTCTGTGTACCAGGCATGTTAAACTGCATTTTGTACTGAATTTATATAAAAATGTATACACACGCACGTGTGTGAGTGTGCCTGCATATACATATATTTGCTTCAGCATACTTGTTGTTGTTAGAGGTATAATTTTTCTGCTGAGTGTTAAAATTGAGATTTCAGAGATCTGTGATTTAAAATATATTGCGCTGTTTTGTTCTAGTAGGACTTTTTCAATTATATCAGAATTATCTGCTGACTTAATTACATTCTCTGTGATTTCAATTGATTCTGGTATTTGGATTCTAAACAATAGCTTTGTTCTGCAGCTTGATACTATCACCTGAAGCAGCTCGATCTCAAGGGGTACTTTAAAATATTTCCTCCATGTGTGTATATATTTGTACATTATGCAAAATAATTTTTAAGTCAGCCAACTTCCAAATAGTGGAGTGTGAATAAAATAGTAATTGTACGTTTAGAGACTGTCAGTTTGTTATGATGGAGTTTTATTTCCTTCATTTCTATACTTGAATATTTTGCAGAGTATAACTGCACATTTACATTGACTGTTTGACTGACTTCTCTTCCCTGGGATGACTTGGAAGTCTTTTATGAGAATGGAATACAATAACTCTGTAGCTATTACAGTTTGCTACCTACAGTAATAAAACATTAAGAGGCTTAAACTTTTTATTTGAGTGAGTGTTGTCATTGCAGTATTGTACATCTACAAATACAAAAAAAAGTCATGTGGAAGCAAAAAGTCCTGCCACATGAATGCGTTCAGCTGGAGTTGATGAAGGTGATAGTTATAGAAATGTAACTAGACATTTATGTAGTTCTATTTTAAAATTCTTCTTGCAAAACCTCTTTTTTGAAAGTTATTTTGCAGCTGTTAAAAATGGGGTGCTGAAAATAGAATTGTATTTTTCATGCTAATTTTGAGTTATCTAAGTTTTGTTATATTTGGATGTTAATTGTGATAGATCTTAAAATCAAGAAATTACAATTTTTCTCTTTTTCTTTGCAGAGTCACAGTGTACACTTTGTGGGGAGCCTGAAGGTGAGCATATTTTCCTACTACTATTTTTCAAAGCAGATAGAGGTGAACATGTGACTCACATTATACACACGTATCGTAGATTGTAAATGGTATCTGAATGATGAGAACCGATAAGAGACATTCTTCCCTATGTTAGATACCAAAAAATGAATTGAATTAAGCTGAGTAAAGCACAGTACATGCTCCAGGCAGGAAATAATCTTTAAGGACAAATATTCCACTAGGGCAAAAATTGAAATATTTACTTCTTATTCTCTTGTGTGTTTGTCAAACTAATTTGGCGTAAGAGAGAGTGTGAAGAGACATTTAAGGACATCACTTTGAGGATGGAAAACAGAAACACTGGACATTAAAGGGAAATGAGAAAATGTTTTTCTATTTGATATTACATTTACAGAGAAGTGAGAGAGGCTAATACTTTTTAGCAGGTGAAGTGAATAAATATTGCTTCTGAAATAAAGGTAATTAAGCAATAACTGTTATGTAGTGCAAATATGTGTCCACATGAAGGTGTTTGGTGGTTTGTTTGGTTTGGTTTTTTTCCAAGTGACTAATTAAATGCCAAGGTGAGACCCACAATTTACCTAAATGAACACTGAAGCAATGAGATTATGATTTTTAAAGTAGGCCATTATTGAGGAAAACCTCTCTAATTCATTTATTTATTAACATTGGTGCTATTATAAAGAAAATGTCAAAAAGCTGACCTTAATTTCAAATCAACCATCTGGAGTCTGTCTAAGAAACATAGTCTGAAATAGCAAATGTAAATGCTGAGGCAAAATATCTTAGTTAAAAAGTAAATTATAGATTCTGGGCTCTTCCCGAAGACATTCAGCTTTATATCTTGAGTAGTTTCCGAAAAACAATGTAAACTTCTAATGTTTTAAAAATTTAGGAGGGAGAAGTTATTAAGAGATGAAGCCCAGAAGTGAAAGGCTTTGAGAGCTTGCAACTAATGCAATCACTCAGTAAATTAAACATTAGTTATATATTTCTCCTTTGTTATCTGCTGACAAATAATTATTTTAGATATTTTTTTTTACTTTACATTCTTATTAAAATAAACAGTCAAAATTTGTTAATTTTCTTTGTCCTTTAATTGATAAATTTATAATAGCACAGATACACATATGAAAAGGAAAAAAAAAAAAGACAGGTGCTTATTTGGCTTTCATGAGATATTCCTTTCTTGATGAGGTTGTTCAACTTTAAAGTTGTGCATTGGATTAGTTCTGTTTTACTGCATGCTTTATAACTGCTTTATGACTGCTTTATAACAATAATTCCTCTTTCTTTTCATTGCTGTTCTTCCATATCGGTTCAGCTTTGCAAATTTTAATAAATGTACATGGGCTTTGTAAAAAAGAGAACTCCAAAAATAATCAGTAATAAAAATGTTTAACGTTTACATGACTAAAAACCCACAATCAAAAGATAATTATACGTATTGGTGTGTGAATAGACCTCAAGAACATAATGTTCACTTCTTAAGCTGAGTAGAAATGAACTTTCCCAGGAGTCAGTGTCCTGGATCACCATACTCTCCCCTCAGACATAGTATTACTAGCATGCTAATTATTAATTTTCTGCCTCATTTTTAAAAGTATTGATGTTAATGTCAGCTTAGGTTACTGACAAGACTTAGAATCTTAGGTTCTTTTCTTTGCCAGATGAGCAAAGTTTCTGATTTAAGACTGAACATTCACAGAAGTTTTACATGTGATTTTGTGGGAAGAAAAAGTTGCTCAATAGACATGACTTTAGTTTTAAAAAGACCATTCTTAAAGAAACTTCGCATCTTTTTCATGTAAATAAAAACCAAAACCACCAACAACTCAAACCTCAAAAAATATAGTTTTCCTCAGGAACATTCTTTAAATTTTGGTTTGGTTTCATGTAAACTAATTGAGTTACTTAGAAAAGTAGGGAAGAACTAAAAAATCAACTTTTTGCAAGGTTTTAATTGGAATTGCTGACTTTTCTATGTAGTCTTCTTCAGAAATTTGAGATACCATAAATACAAACTATAAACCAAAGAGGCAAATTCAAAAAATATCAGTTAATAGTAGATAGCATTAACCTCCAGGTTCCTTTTCCTCATCCTTTTCAGAAAAAAATCGAAGTTCACTAAGTATATTAATGTACTTTGAGATGAATTTGCAAAATTGCAGTAGGCTTACTACAGTGTGTAGAGGCCTACACCATTGTGTAGGCTTCCTGTATTCATTTCCAAAGTGGTAGGCAGAGATTCATTCATGAAACAGTAGATGTGGAGAAATCTCCCTGACTTGAGATAGAGGCAGACAAGGCTTCACGTCTTACCACTTCTGAGTTCCTCTGTTTATGCCATTTGTTGAAAACCCTACAGGCTGCTAGCGGTGAGTTTCTGAACACCTTCTAGAAGAAAGGTGGCCGAATGCAAGCCTATTGCAAGCCACAAATTCTGATTGTCAAATTGGTCAGCTGAAGTCTTCAGTGTTCTTGTGATGGTTCACCCTTTATCTAGCCATCACCCCTCCTTTCAAAACCAGCAGTTTTGCCCTGGATTATCAGTATAGCCAAGTGTAGTAGGAAAGGGCTCTGTAAAACTGAACTTTTTGCTGGGGGCACTTAGCAAAGTTTTTAGCAGTTAGTGTTGCACTTTGGTAGCAAGTGCATTTATTTGCATACAGGTTGTTGCACAGGTGTGGGACAATGGGAGTACATGGTTTATAGAGTGAAAAAATATCAGATTTGAGAGGGTGATATAAATTATCAGAATACAGATGTCACTTTTCAGTGTTTTGTCTGTGGAATTTGTGGATCCGTCAAAAGATGTGTGTTGTGTGTCCTCCTCTGCAGCCCATCTAAAGAGAATGAATTGGACGACACTGAGGTCTGAGAATCAGTCCTTTATATGAGCTGCAAAGGGTTATGTGTTCTGTTTCAAAAATCATGCTTTGCTCTCTGTTACTGACAAGCACATCAGCTACCATTCTTGTCACTGTGAGATGCCTGAAGACCAGGTGGCCTATTTTGTAACAGGAGGAAACTAAGTTGCAGAAGACAAAGCTAGTGGTTTAATAAATCCCATTAGTGCAGCTGCTTCAGCCTGGTCCATCTTCTGGAGATGCAAGGGCAGCAATAATGTGTTTTCAGACATGTGACAACAGTTACCTTTGTGGAAGTGATCTGCAGTTGACAGATTATGTTGTCATGATAAATACTGTTGTGGTGTTTTCCTCTTTTTTCTTCCTGCTCAGATTTTAAGTGAGAAGAGAACATTATACATATGTGTCTACCTCAGTCTTCGTGACACCCAACATACTCTGTTAGAAAGACTGGTGTAGTCATGAGAAGTATCAGGAACAATTACGTCCATTAAACCTTAAGCAGATGTTTATTCTAACTCCTGGTATTTATGCACAGAAGTTTTTGAAAGGACTATATTAACAAATCTAATTTTCTATGTTACTAAAGCAGCAAACAAGTTTGGTGGCAGCTAAGATTTCAGTAGACCGCTCTGTCTTCTTAAAGCCTATGCAAATGAAAGCTTTCTTCCAGGCATTCTGAATATCCTTCACAACTCCATTAGTGACCTACTGTTTCTATTCAGGGCTTTTGCCTTTGTATTTTATTATTATTCTATTTCTTTCCTCCTTAAAGATAAATCGGCAGTCCTGTACAATACCAGCGCTTTTCAACTTTTGTAAAAATAGACACCTCTACACATTCTTTGACAGCATAAGCTTTACCTGAACACACAGATCTGGAAAATGTGGTGTTAAAAAAGAATAGCACTAAATGGGGATGTTTCTAGTGAATTTTGAGAAGAATTAATACAAGGTCTGACTCTCTCCAGCATTTCAGTGTCTCACCTATTTCAACAGAAGAAAATAATGATAAAGATACAACTTGTTTCAGGTAGTCCTTTATCCACCAGAAGCATCATTGTATGTTCTACTTCTCCTCAGACACTTCTCTCTTAAAACTAGAGAGAGCATGGAAAAATGCGTTTTTTTTTTCCCGAGTATCTGCTGTCCCTGTTATGAGAGAAAGAGCCCTGGGAGCACTGCCTTTTCGGCTGACCTTCTGTTGGTCTTGTTGGATTCTTATCAGTTTGAGATAAAAAGCAGTGGCTACGTGTAGAATTTTATTTCGGTGTCCATGAGAGAGGAAACCCAGGTTAACTTTGCTGTAGGTGTTCAGGTTTCTCTCCTGTAACTGTGTTGCTAAAAGCAATTTCCAATATATTTAGGAGTATTCAGTGATGAAAATAAGCTTCTCTCTGTAGAAGTTCCTGATGTGTTATGAGAGTGGTAGAATATGCTGAGCAGTTATGCAAAGACTGTGGAGTAAGTAGTAGGTAGTCCTGCTTACTGTTCTTTCAGATTCTTCCTCATCATCTCAGATCTCTTTTGAGCTGTGGTATGCACCTACAGTTTTAATTAAGTTTGCCCGTTATTTTTTGCAAGTAACTGGTACAAGAAGAGGTTGCTGTTTGTTAAATTTTGAGTTCAAGCTTGTGATAGCAACCTTAGAACAGTGACTTTCCATTAAATGGTAAAATACATGTTCCATTGAAAAGGAGAGCTTGGAGGAGACCTATTTCTTAATGCCTCTCAAAGCCAACATTGTCTTTTTTCCTAAACTAACTGTTCTTTGGTTAAGCTAAAACAGTTAATAGTTCTAACAACAAATGCATAGATACCATGTGACTCCCAAGTGCCACAAGATTGAGAATATTCTGACAGTTATATATTATCTGACAATAAATCCAAATGTCAGAAGATGAAGATTGTTTTTTACTGTTGATTTGCATTTTCAAGCTAAGATGCCAAGATAATTTTGTCTTTCTCTAGAAGAAATGAGTTTCTGCAAAATTTTTAGCAGTTACAAGAACGTCCCTTATCCGCACAAAAGTTTATGTCAATTAATAATGGAAGTGTTTTTAATCTGACTGAAAGTTGAAGAAGGATTTAATTGATTTTTTTTGTTTTTGCATGAAATATTCAGTA